AAGTGATGTAGCCCTGTTAGTCCCAGGGTATTAGAAAGACCAGGTCGGTGAGGTAATATCTTTTTTTAGTTGGTCCAATAAAAGATATTACCTCCCCCACCTTGTCACTTTAAAGTGATGTCTCTTTCCAAATATGTGGTTTGGAATAGGATTCAACTGACAATTAAAAATGATGGAGGACCCTACACAAATAAACCTAGGGCCCTGGTTCCATTTGCAGTGAAGAGGGGCATGTGTGCACACACTCAGATTGTACTGTGGGACCAGGCTGCTCTGTTATTTTGAGTAGATAGACAAAAATAAATTGGTTAAAGTCCTGATCTTATTCTTCAAAAACAAAACACCTCAGTGACTGGCTGTGTGAGAGGCTTCCATAGAGCAAACAAAATAACCACTGACATAAAGTTTGCAGAAGGTGTACTATGATTGAACAGCTAAAGATCTGCCCTGGGTGTAAAGTTCATTTAAATGAAGGCTGCTATTAAGGTATTCCCATAATCTCCTGTTCCTGACACTGATCTACACAAGACAACTCTTCTTTCAAGAAGTGGCTTTATTCTGTAGAAAGGGTCACTAAAGCTTAAGTTCAAACCATGTGTTTTATTTTTTTTAAAAGTTGGTTGATGGGGAAAATCCTTGATTGAGCAAGCCGCTGGTTTCCAGCTGGGAAACACGACTGCCACTGCTCCCTGAAAACATGTTTCTCTTGAGGCGTTGGCTTGTCTTTGTAAGTAGCTAACTCTCCATTAACCTTTTTCCCACTAGGTCATCCTATTTCAATATTGACGGCGCGAACTCTTCCTCATCTGTCCATAGCGTTCCCACCACCGCTGCCCCTCAGTCGCTGAAACATGGTGTTCAATCGAAGGCAACTTTGATAGTCACGCAGGAGAAAGTCAATTCAGCATTCTGTTATTCGCACCGACAGCATCTGATAGCCAATGTTCTTGCCTCCCAGCAGCACTGCCAACAGTCATGGTTTTCGCTTGTTTCTTGTGGACCTGCAGAATGACAATGAGTCCCTAAGGCATTGCCATGCACAGCCCAAGTTAGTGATCCTACTGCACTTTCATCGTTGCTTCCAGCATCATGGAACAGGAAAAGATCATTACATGCTGAGCCAGAGGTGGTATTGATTGTTACCTAACAATACAGAGAAAGGAGGGAGCAAAGTACTTGGGCCTGATTCCGACTTGCCCCAGTGTAACACTGTTGATTCCGTTAGGTTCTGCCTGATGTACATTAGTGTAAATGAGATCTGGATCAGGCCCGTTAGCTCAGCCACTTAGCACTCATTGAGCCAGATTGACTGCTGGTTGTAACTCTACTGAAGTTAATAGAGTTATGCCAGCCAGAAATATGGCCCTTCATCTTTAAAGAGATTTAGAACCACTAATCCATTAACTCTCCCCATGAGGTAGGTAAGTAAATCTCCTTTTCCCCAATTTACAGGTGGGAAAACTGAGACACAGGCTGATGACTTGCCCAAGCTCACAAAGGGAGTGGGTGTCACGGCCATGCTTAGTGCTCAGAGGTTCCTGACTGTCATTCCTGCCCTCAGCGTGCTAGACACACCTCCATCCCAAGGACCATCAGCCACATCTTTGTTTCCTGGCAGCCTTTTGCTTGGAGTCATTTCTCACTCCTGAATGAGTGATCCCAGGAGCGTATCTGCACCAGACTGCTGGCCACTGCGCCCACTGGGGTTGGGAAACGATACATTTCGCTACTAAAATTCCAAATGAAAGTTGTGTCTTAAATACATAGGACTTGAGTCACTCTGGCACAGACCCTAGCAGCAAAAGTTTAGCCAGTGAGAACGGTCACAAGGTCTCTGTACACCAGGGCTCCACTGGTGGTGTAGCTAGCCTACATCCAAACAAAAACGGGCACTGTCCAACAGGAGAATGGGTAGGACTCAGCATATCCCTTATGCAGCCTCCACTAGCTGGACTCCTCTGGTGGCCCAGCAGCTAGTCAAAGCTGTCCCTACTTGGTGGAATTTCTGATGGAGGGATTCCTGTGAAACAGCCCCCAGCGCTCATCAGCCTCTGCTGGCCCCAGGGGTTCAGTTCCTGCTTCCCTGCCCCAGTGGTGCATAAATCAAGCCTGTAACTTTTAAGAGATCACTTTATATAGTTAGTGAAACTAACTAGTTTAAACTGCACACGGGGCCAGTAGGAACAAGCGACGGCTGAGCTCATGCAGCAGGCAAGGACAGCGTGTGATAAAGGCCATGCTAATAAATCTGGCAGCTTCTTTTTTATGATTACCTCGGTCTTTATGTTGTGCCCCATGTCCGGTGTTTCCCAGCTACTCCTGGCTCATGCTCACTGAGGTGAGAGCCCAATGCTCTAAGCCACAATTCAAAATGACAGCTCAGAAAGGGCCAGGCTGTGGAGCGCTCACCCCATTCTGGTGAGTGCTTACTCTCACAAGCAGTCTCATTGCAACCACTGAGTAAGGGCTCAACAACCCGGTCCCGAGCCAGGAAAGAAACACTGCAAAGATCCTTCCTAGATAGTAATAATAAAAGGTAAACAATATTTGAAATTAGTACTTGGTCCCTAACAAAATCTCACTCTCCTGTGAGTGCTCCAGCCAACCTTGCTGGTGAGATTTGAAGGCAGCTTTTCCAAGAATGTGAGGTCCTAATGTGACCCATCAGTGTGTGAGACCTGTCCCGCTCTGTGCCTGATCTGCAGAGGCTGAGTCCACCAGCTAGACAACCTGGCTTTATAGCTCAAGCTGCAGAGACTCTTGCTTTTAGCTCTGGAGGTCCCTGGTCCAATCTCCAGTTTCAGTCAAGATGGCAGCCATCACACTACCATTAGGCAGTGAGTATTTCCAGCACTGCAGCACTTTCCCTAGTTGTACCCCATTATCTTGCTAGAGCAAAGCTTTCTGGGCATGTGGGTCTAGCTCACTGCGAGGAGGTATTCACCCAAGTAACTTCGCAAAGTAAATTGCATAATGAGCAGCTATGGACTTCTGTTGAGGTGAACATCAAGATCTATTGACCGGAGAAGTAACTGAGCAAAAACACATCTTGAGATTTGCTGAAATAACAAGTCAATATGTCTTGTTGCATATATTCATTGTTCTGATAATTCAGCTAGGCCAAGTGTACCCAACAGCTAGAAGTTTTATCCACACTTTAAATGAACATTTGAAAGGGCAGATGAAGTTAGAAGTCCATAAAATACTATTATTCACCTCCTGAAAGATTAATAATAGTTTCCATTGAATTCAACCATCATGAGACTGGTGTCTGCCCATCTGCATCTGTGATCCGATTGGTTAATGTTGTTCCAGAACCAGTGTTATTGCTCCTTTGAGGAGGTGACTGGTAGAAATTTGCATCTGTTTTCAGTCAATGATAAGCCAGATTTTTTTCTTTTCTTTTTGTATGTAACAATGAGCGAGAGAACGGCAACAGCCTTTTGTTTGCTGTAGCTGAGCATTCAGATTGTTGGTATGTGTTACAGCGAGGTTGTAGTGAATTGGTCTGTGTCCACATGAAATGGCATTGATGGTGACATGCTGCTTGGAAGGGCCACTTTCTCCCCCATCTCTGCTTGCTCATTCTAATGACTGTTTTGTTGTGGAACTAGTGTAATACAGTAATGGGTAGATGTTCAGTTTAAGACTGTGAGGATGAGACTCCAGACTGTAACTTGACCCCACACGCCATGGTAACGGAGATTTCCACAACCCGGTTTTATTGAGGGAGACAAAGGTTTGATGCATTTCTCTTCTGTCTCAGCAGCATTATGAGCGGGAGACTGCGGAATATGTCTGCTAAACAACTACTTAGTTACTGATCAAATTTGACTTGTAATATGTACTGTACATCAAAGTTATTTTAACTGTTACCACTGACAGGATCAGAATGCAAAGCACAGGGCTAATGTGTAGACATTTCTGACCAAATCTATATAGTGTAAGTGGAGTCACCACTAGCCGTGTAGAGAGTATTGCACTGTACAACTCATGCTCAAGGAAGATCTCTTCAGTAAGTAGCCACAGCAGCTTTGCAGAAATCAGACTCTGATGTATTAAGCCCAAATTGTTTGGAAGAACTGGAAGCAATTCAGCTTGTGCAGTTTTAGAGCTAAACTATTGTGTATGGAAAATACTCAACTGTACCAAGAAAGTAAGAAATCCTCTAATTTATTCAATACTTTGTTTCACAATGCATTTCACATTGACTGTTGCCATTGAACAAAACCTTATCTCAGGTTATTCGCATTCATCTCCTCTCTGTAGATTTTTTTTGTTTTTTTTAAATCCTTCGCATTTACTTAGGTTATTCAGTAATTGCCAAATGGGTTATGGTGCAGTACTGCAGATTCTGTGTCTTACAGTATTCCAATGGCTATTTACAAAAAATGTTATAGACTAAACCCAATGAGGTTAGCCAGTGAAAGATGAACTTTCCACTAGAATTTAATATGATAAATAAATCTGATGGGGGAGGGACTGAAAATGGAGTGGTTTAAAATTTTATTCCCAAAACATTGTTGATTTTTGGCTCATGTTGGTTAACCCCAATGCCCTAGCTAATGATGCTTACACAACGTAATGCTCGGGGCGGGGGTTAAATCCTGCACTACTGCTGTCACTGATATATTCAGACCTTGTAATATGAGGCCAACTATAAACACTTCTCAGAATTTTATTTCGAAAGCAGATCATTTTGTTGTAGCATGTTGCAATTACACATGTCTTGGCTACAATGGTTAAAAAAATCCTTTTGAATGAGTGGACAGTCAAGACTAGTATTTATTGAAAAAACAAAAACTAAATTGTAAGCACTTTTTTGTAAAACCAATGTCTGTTTTGTTACATACTTTTAATGTTGTGCTTTGTAAATGTCTGATTTGTGTAATAAATAAAGTTCATGCAAGTAGAAGTGCTGGCACTTACATCAAGAAAATGATGTAATTCCATTTTATTTGATTTTAAAATATTTTCTGGCTTACTAATGAAACAGCAACCCACCCAGTTTTTCTCTTTTATTATTTTGTTAAACTAGAGTTCAACAAATGTTCCTGGTAAATGGATATAATTTCCTAGTTAGCAAACTAGTCATTAAAGAATAACTGGTGTACATTATTACAATGATCAGTCAATATCAAAGTACTGAGCAAAAGGAGGGTAAAGAAATACACCCAGACAGATAACTGGGACCTGGGGAAAAAATGCTAAAATGGAGCTGAATGCCTTCAGCACTGAATTTGAGGCAGTCTCTTTTGTAAATTGTTTGTATGTTAAGGCTTAATAACGTCACGTGTATATATTGAGCCTACTACACTGCACACCTCTCAGGAATATTAGGATAAGTATAGTAAGCTTATTTCCATGGCTTCATGTGAACGTAGTTGATTAAATGATGGTTCCAGTTTTATTATGCTAACAAAGGCTATAAAACTACATTCACATAATGGTAGGGACTGATCTAAATCCACCAAGACATTCAGACTTAAGGATGAATCAAATGATGTTTTCCAAAATCAGGGTAGAAGCTAAAGCTGTGTTCACTGTTTAGGTTTAAATCCAGTTATTTCATCCCAGCCTTTCCGACAGGTGCGAATGATCCATTCATGTTCATCATCATCTGAAAGAGAGAAAAAGAAATTGTCAAATGTTACAGATTCAGATCTGCTCTTTGCATAGAGGAGTCCAGATCAGAAAGGGTATTTTCTTTGAGGAATAAATGCATTTTTAAAATACTTCTTGCTTAGCCAACAGATCCTGTGTACAGTTTTGTTGGCATTTGCCAAGATTCAAACATCTATAACAGAAGGACGCGATACAGGGTTTATGGTAATAGATCTGATCATTAGGCCACTTGATCAAATTAACTGTTTGGAACTTGTGCAAAAAATTGTAACACTTCCTTGTCTATAGTATAATTTCTGGTCTCATGGTCATTTACAGTAGATACCAGTAAATGACCTAAATGAGGACATAAAACTTTATTGATGTTGGTGTCAGTTTATGAAAATTGCAATTGGTGAAACGTCCAGAGTCAAAGCCCCAGTTCATCTGGATTTTTTTTACAGCTCTTCTTCCAACATCATTATACAAAAATGCCACATTATACCCGATAGCAACAAGCTGACGTACCAGCTGATGGAAGTACTTTAGACAATCTTCTGCATCTCCCACAATTATTCAATGTCTGTCATGTTGTCATCTCTCCGAGTACAGAGACAATGTGAAAAGTGAAAACCATTTGGAGAAAACACCTATCCAGCAAAGCGTGAATAGAAATATTTTGAATAATTACAGAAAATTATAACTTGATAAACAGTAGTAATTAGGGTCTTTCCGTTGAAGGGACTAAAACAGCCTGTCTGAAAAACCTGTTTGATAGGCTTTTACTTGTGTGGGTGATTGAAAAAATCTGTGCAGTAGATCAGATAAAAACATGAATGATATTGCTTTAAACAGTACCAGTATCTAGTTTCGTATTCAAATGAAACATACTGTAGCAGAGCTACTTCTGTTTACTGTCATCTTTACAAACTCTGATCCATGTTTGCAATTTGTGCTTCTAACCAACCTGGTTCCAAATGTCGAGGATTTTGTAGCAATGTCATCAGCAATGCTTACCTGAAAGTAAAAACCACTGACCTTGTCAATTATAGATTAAAAAAAGAAACGTTGCTAGTGAGGAATCAGCTTCTGAAGGGAGACGGCTGCTTATGAGTTGGGCCTTTATTATGTTCATATAGCAACATTTAAGTTTAAAAAGTCATAAAAATGCAGCTGTGCTGGTCTAAGAAGGAGAGAAGCAAACAAAGGGTGTATGGCAAAGAGGTGCCCTTTCACTAAAATCTTAGGTTTGTTCTTAAGTCCCATTGACTTCAGTGGGCTTTGGATCAAACCCTATCTGCTCTTGTCTTTTCCTTTCTCTGTTTCCCTTTCCTTTTTTCCCTGCCATCTTAGCATCTTTTTTCATTCATGGTCAAGTGAAACAAGTGCAGGCACTCACGGCCTGTGGGGTGCTGCTCATGCTGAGCCCTGCTAGAGCACTGGTGAATGTAGACTTAACCAACGCATGTGCCCAGGCTTCTGTCTCAAGTCGAAATGGTGGCACTTGTCACAACCCCCTTTACAAACAGCAGTCAGAGATGCTTGTGAATCGGAGGAGGTTTCCCCCAAGAGCACACTACTGTGTGTTACTCTTCCACACACAGTTACTAATTATACACACAGCAGTTATTTGTGCTTGTCACCTCTCTCACAATTCCACACTCAGGGATGATGTTTTGTAAAAGCTTACTGCTATGAACGGGGCTGTGGAAAAGACTGCTGTATTGCCCATGATCTCTTTCATTAGTTTAGCCTGTAGATGTGCTTTAACTGCTGTAATGCATGATACAGTGATGTCATTTTGATAAAATTCCCCAAGTGGATATATTTCTTTTTTGTCCACCTCAGCAGGTACAGGATACATCTTTTGCTCTATTCCTTGGCATGAGTGCGACATTAATAAAACACACAATTACAGTGTTTTCTTTCTGTCTCAAAGGAAATAAGCCAGGAGAAAATAAGCACCACTGGAATAACTTTTTTAAAAGGATGACTAAAAAGAAGAGAAAAAACACTGAATTTGTTTAAGGTCTGACACTGAAGTCCTTAGGTAGACACATCCCACTGAAAGCTGTAGTAGGACTGCAAAGTTGGCCCCTATGGTATGTCTACACTGCAATAAAACACCTATGGCTGGCCCAGGTCAGCTGACTTGGGTTTGCAGGGCTCGGACTATGGGGCTATAAAACTGCAGTGTAGATGTTTGGGTTCATGCTGGAGTCGAAGCTGTGAGACTCTGCAAGGGGGGAGGGTCCCAGAGCCCAGGACAGGGAGTATCAATAAATCATGTGCAAGCTGTGATTATTTTGCATGTCAAGTTCTATTTCTGCACTCCAGATGTTCCGATATTATGGAGATGAGGCCATGAAGTATTTAGATGAGCTAGATAGTGTCCAGACTGTTAGTGTCTATGTGATTATGTACCTCCTCGATGTAAGAGTTGTTACTCTGGACTTGTAATAATTGCAAGAAAATTAAATTGTCTGTTTCTGTCAAAATGAGGTAATCAATCAAAAACTCCACGTGCTAAACACCACTTGTATCCATTGCTTCCTTTGATAAGGATCGTATTGCTCAGGTGAGTTCCATGAAGTGAGCAAACTGCCTTCCTGGTAACGAATCTGCATTGGTCATGGAATTCTGGTGCTCAGCTGACCAATATGAAAGGCACAAGATGTTTTTGACTTTAGTTCATGAGTTTTCAACAGGAGCCTGGTCCATCCAGCTTGATGCAGAAGGAAACATTTTTCAATAGACCACATGCACCTAAGCCTTTTCTTCTAAGGATTTTAGTCTCTGATCCAGGCCCAATACCACCATAGCTCAGCTCGTGCAGCGATCTGATTCTATGCACAGTAAGTATCAGCAAATAAGCATTGAGAAAGACTACGTACGGTTTTCACAAAGGCTGAATTGTAAGGAGGTGTCCCAATGGAGTCCGTTATTACCAATTTACACTTTGAATAGAAAGAAGAGCCTGTCTGGTGAAGGGACTACAGCACATTGCCCTACCTTAGGGCACCCTCTGCTTCATTCAGAGGAATAGAGCAATTACTCCACTGGAGCTGACCTGTGATCCATTTATGATTATCTGTATTACTGTGGTGTCTAGGAACCCAAGGCACGGCCCAGGACCCCATTGTGCAAGGTGGTGTACAAACAAAGAACAAAAAGCTGGTCTCTGCCCCAAAGAGCTTACAAATCCAGGTTTTAGTCTCTGACCGTGGCCGGTATCAGCTGTTTCAAGGCAGACGCCAGAAACCCCATATTGAAGAATTATGCAATAATCTGTACACAGGGAAAGCGTCTTCCTACCCACTCTCATTTAGATATTGACTTATGCCTAGAATCCTCCTAAGCTTTTAGCTGCAATAACATCTTGTGGCAATGCGTCCACCCAGTTAACTAGGCATGGTGTAGAAAAGCATTTCTTTGGATATTTTAAGTTGGCGGCCTTTCATTTTCATTGCATGTCTCCATGCTTTGCATTACGGGAAAAGGATATATAGGAGCAACTGATTTACTTTACCTATACGTTGTCATTTTGTATGCCTCTATCATGTCCTCTCTTATTTGTCTCTTCTCCAAACAAAACCACTGTAACCTTTCTATATTTCTGATCATATTCATCACTCATCCACGGACGACACCTCTTTCTTTTTTGACAGCGGGCAACCAGAACTTAACATTTTCTTCTGGGTGAGGGTGTATCAGAGGCTGGCATATTTTCAGTATTATTTTCCATCCCCTTTCTTATGTCTCCTAATATTTTATTCCCAGCTGAGCTGCATTAAAAAGAGAAAAACTTGCTGAAAACTGCATACAGAGTTGAGAACTAACCCAAGTGGAAAAGAAAGTGGAAGTGAGCTGACAAGGCGCTGTCTGCAAACTTCCACTCCCGCTCACTGTCCCACTGACTTCTAATCATTGTCTTCAATGGGGCTGCAGCCCTGGAAGGTGGGTAAAATGCACTGGGAGCCACAAAAAAGAACAGGGACTCCATATCCACAATGAAAGACCTTGAGCAAAATATCTGGAACCTCCAGGCCTATTATCCAACTGGTGGGCACCACACACATATTCCTTAGACTGAGGTAAGGGAAAATGAAGGATCCTATTCAGGATAGCTAGAGGAACCACAAAAATATAGATCAGAATGGCTCCCGGGATTAGCTATGTGTAAAGAGGCAGAGAAATATTAGAACGTAAAGAGTTAAGCTATGGTTAAACATACTTTTGCCACGCTAAAGAAGACTGGTTGATAATTACTGTAGTTTTAGGGCTATTTGAATCAGTGCAGCTGCAACCTCTTCAGTAGTAACCCCTGAAACAAGACAAACTGGGTTTATTGTACTGAACAAGTCTTAAAGCTCCTCCCTGATTGTTAATAATTGGCAGCAATGGACTTAACAGCCTCTTGACTACCCTTTTTACATTCTACCTGACTGTGCAGCTAACAATTTAAATCACAGATGCCGATCCTTCTTTGTGGCAGCTGCTTGTTAACTACACATTCCCCTTTTTCTGTCGCTGGCGGCTTCCATAACCCTGCAACACCAGGGTTAGACTGGAGAATCACATTTCATCAATATTTAAAATGGAATTAAACCTTGACGTTTGATTAATGCTACCAGATAGCTTGTTGTAATTACTATTTTACAAATTCCAATTGTTTGAATATGTTAATATGATTGTCTAAGCACATCTTCACCTTCAGAAGTAATTTTCCTTAAAAAAAAATTTTTTTTTAAATACAAACTCTTTAATCAACTGTAAATTATCATCCTGGGCACAATTAGGTAGTATGTGGTTCTTCACATTGTGTGCTGAATTTTATTTCAGCTCATTTATTTTTAAAAGTTTATTCTTTCTCCATTTTCCTCAGCGGCCTCAGTAGAATATACATTCAGGAAATATATTCTGCTAAAATGGGCTACTTTCATGTTCAAATTTTGAAAATAAAGGAAATTGCTTTGTATGAAAACATTGATAAAATCCAAGGAGGCAAAGTTTGCT